AAAGGGGGACGGGATTGTAGTTACGACAATTGGAACATATCTGCTATCATTTGTAAAACGGATATTCCATAACGGTCAATGATGGCGTCCGTAAAATTTACGAAGGGATGACTTCAACTTCACCACTTGGAACTCTTGGTTTAATAGCTTCCGTGTGAGCAGCAATCCTCTATCAAAGAAATCTTAATAGGAAATACAAGCCCTGGAATATCGTATTAACTAGAAGATATATACGCTGCTGGAATGTTGCTACATAGAAATGGAAAATTCACAATTGGGAAGCTTTAATCATCCCTTTTGTCGTAAAATTTTGTTTACAATTGGCCTTCATTATCAATATCTAGATGTAAGTCAAGATATGAGGCAGAAAGTTAAATTAAAGGATACAGCTAACTTCTTTTTCTTTCTTCCTATGAAGTAAGCCTCATATGAATAAAGGAACAAGTAGGCAAGAAGAGGAGCACAGTTGTTTGTTACACGTCATCCAAACGTAACAAATATGTTGTCTATCAAGAAATCAAGCATTTTGATAATGTCAGTTTCAGAGAATGTTTTGTTTGAATCAGAGTGATTTTTTACAAAGTACGATTTATCTCTCCCTAAGACAAGATACTTGTATATACGTTGGCCATTCTTTTTTATGAAACAAAGCAGGACCAACTCTTTCAATTTGTCTTGAATGGGGAATACTTGTACAAAAGTCAAATGTTTTAATACTTTTGCAAGATGAAAGAGACTTAGATTGTATGTACTCTGAAACATCTTTGGAATTTTTTAGTATCCACATCTTATTCACGCCACCTCTAGAATATGTAGTTTCATAATAACTTTGAAACATGGCTTTGATTGCTGATAAAATTGATGTTAATAATTTAGAAAGAGGTTTCGTGGACCACTTGGAAGATCCAGCAATATAACGTTGTTTGTGAGAACACTTATGTAGTTGGGTATCTGATACAGTGATGGGATATCAAGTTCTTCATCTTTGGTTGAAATTCCAAAGGAACATAGAACAAACCTATGATTATCCAGGATTTCCTCCTTGGTAATTGTCGTGGGGGTATATGTTGAGTTTTCAAGTAAATTATCAATACCTAATTCATTTATCAAGCAGTTTATGTAATGTGATTTACGCACAAAAACGATGTTGTCTGCGGGGACAACAAAATATTTGTCATGGAGGTAGGACAGGTGCTTTGCAACATTAGGGTTTTTAAAGATTGATGTAGTATGGGTATTCATAGACCCATTCAGTTTTTTTAATTCTGATTTGTATCAACGACCTCACATCCTTAATTCATTCGGAAAGAGTATCTACGTCTTCTATCTCGCGTTTAACCCATTGCCTGGCATAATCCTCGACTGAATTAATCAGTATTTTGAAGTTGTGTTTTCAATTGATGGATTTAGACTCACGATATTTCGGGCCTTTGGATAACACATTTCGCAGAGAAGAGTTGTTGACAATGTTTAGGTCACCATTACGAACGTAGCCAGCTGGATTATATATGAATGGGGAACTAGCACAGGTGCAATCAGGAGGTTTAGACTTGAAGTCGTCAATATCGAGATCCTGCAAAACGTGTTTGTAATTGAAAATTTTAGTTGCAATTGTTTTGGTATAGGTATAAGAAATGACATGTACAGACTGATCCTTAAAGTAGGGAAGTATTTTCGAGTGAACAGATTAATGATGAAGGATATTGTCCCAGTTGATGGCATCGAGACCTTTGTTGGCAAAGGAATGTTTTAGAAAGGATCTTTTCTCCTTTTTATCTTTTCCAATGCGAACTACATTGAAAAGTTTGCGACTTCCAATATCCGAGATGATAGCTGTAATTTTTTATTGGTTTGAATGTCGGTTTGTAACAGTTGTTTCCAAACATAGGTTGTACAGAGAATGTAGTTTTGGAAGGGGTAATTAATAAATCTTCGTGCAAATGTAATGAATACCTATCGGCATTTGTATAAATGGAGAGTAGGTGATTTATAATGACGATGTTCAGACATGAACAAACATAACCACTGAACTATAGGCTCCTGACTTGTCACAGGCACAAAGAATGTGGCGGGGTTAAACCTCATTGTGAGCGTTCAATCCTCTTCATAACCTGGGACAGTGGTGTTACAGCACAACATAAGAAACACTATTAAAATCAGTTGAAAAGGGCTTAACTCATCAGATCGATACAAGTCATGTTCAGTATTTCAGACAATTCTGTGACTGTGATTAATCCAGTACTGCATAGACAATAAGCTTGTGGCCAATTAAATTCAGTTCAGTATATGTTCTTTCCATTAACAATCCGAACTTTTCTGATTGGGTTCCATTAATATATCCTGCAGAACTAGAAATTGAATAAACAATAGACACGGCTTCCTCCGCCTCAATTTTGGACTTATACCTCGAATTTGACATACACAGTCATCTCAGTACCAGAATCTATGACAAACGAGACGATTTTAATTTTGAAATTATCAATTTCCCCCACCTTAGTAGCAATATACCAACTTCACCTGCATATGGGATATACATTTCCCAACTTATTCGGTATTCAAGAGCTTGCATCTCCTACTCAGACTTTGTAAAACGTCACCAGTGTCTGAGCAGAAAGTTGATGAACCAGGGTTATGTCAAAGAACGTCTCGTCCTTTTTCTAAAAAATTTCATCGGAAGGTACCAAGACCTTGATGATAAATATTCCGTATCAACTTCACAAATAATACACGATGGTCTTGAAGTATAGATTCTGCGTACTGACGTTGTTTATCATCTTAATAACGTGTTATAGTATTCTTTTATTTGTCTTTATTAATATTACTTTTACTGTTAAGTCTGTTTTTTGTGATATCCATCTGACGTGACTCTGTACTTATGTATCCCGTCATACTTTGAACGACAAAATTATTTTTTTTTATTAATATTACTTTTACTGTTAATTCTGTTTTTTTGTGATATCTTTTTGACGTGACTCTATACTTATGTATCCCGTCATACTTTGAACGACAAATTTATTTTATATCTACCTGTGTGACGTCAAACGCGCGATTCTACGCCAGTACTTAAAGCCTTCCTTCCTTTATGGGTGGATTTTACATAGATAAATAAAATCGTATAATAAAAAAGCAAAATGTGGATGTTAAATTTGATGTATGCCTGTTTGTGCTTCTTTGTTACATTTGTTTGTTTTTATAGTGATTAAGATGATGACACAATGTAGACTGCTGTACCCCTATTTTTGACATTTTTACCTATTGTGTCTGTTTGTTTTGTTCATGCATCGTTGTCAATATAATGGAATTTGATGCGACTGTCATACAAGTGAGAGGTTTAGCTAGCTATAAAACCCGGTTCAATCCACCATTTTCTACATAAGAAAATGCCTGTACCAAGTCAGGAATATGACAGTTGTTATCCATTCGTTTGATGTGTTTGAGCTTTTGATTTTGCCATTTGATAAGGGACTTTCCTTTTTGAATTTTTCTCGGAGTTCAGTATTTTTGTGATTTTACCTTTTTCGGACTTTTCAGTAGTTATTATTTACCCGCACAAAACAACAACATAGTGAATTGGCTGAAAATCGACTTATCAGTACTTTATTGACTGCAAGCAAAACAGTACTGAATTTTAAACAAGAAAATAATTGAAACAATAATCGAAATTGTTCAAAAGATTTCACTTTTGAAGGCTCAAACTTTTCGATGATATAAAGATAAAAATAACCGTTTTAAAGACTAATTTTTATTTACTAGCGCCAGTTACTAGCTTATAGCTTTCAGGTGCTTAAAAATCCAAAGTTTTAATATAGAAGGAACTTTAAAGGTATTAACAAAATTGAGAATGGAAATGGGGAATGTGTCTAAGAGACAACAACCCGACCATAGAGCAGACAACAGCCGAAGGCCACCAATGGGTCTTCAATGCAGTGAGAAACTCCCGCACCCGATGGCGTCCTTCAGCTGGCCCCTAAACAATTATTAAATATATATAACACCATTGATCCTAATCATCATCCATAGTGTCTAGATTAATCATAGCAAAATTCAATCTGGTATAGCTAAATACTAATAAACGTCACATTGAGTTCAACCGTTATTTGTTTCACAGTATATTTGATATCCGTCTGGTTGTAGATGACATTGAAATTACGTTCAGACGAAGACTCCCGTTTGACAGGTATGAATTTCTTTTTTACATACAGAAGAGTGCATCTCATGCGCATGTAAAAATGCTGAGGGAATATTGTGCACGTCAACTATTTAGAATTGAAAACTCAAACTCAAACTCATTAAGACTGTTGAAGTGACATGAACTTCCTAATATGTGTTTAATGGTGTTATTTTAATTTTTAAAAATTTTCTTCAATGCATGAGCATCAATTCTACATGAAAGATCCAACCTCGGGAAACCCCGGTCATGTCCCAAAACCGATGTTTATGAGCGTTGAACTAGTGCTCAAACGGTTATGTTTAATTGCTCAATTCTTGTTTAGGAAGCTTCCTTGTGTCGAACAACATTCTTCGAAGAAAATACTGATGGAGGAAAGCATTTTTTTTTGTTTTTTTGGTTTATTTCTCATTGTATCCATACTGCTTTCTGTTTTGCGTTCATTTGATAATCGCGTGTGGTGCCTTAATATATTTAGTATAAATAAAAATGGAATTGTCTTTGGAAAGCAAAGGAGTTAGCAAATCGCTAGGACCCGAAAGAACTATCAAATTGTTCAAAATTTAAAGCCATAACCTTATACAAATTATCGCACATGCAAATCGTATTTTTACTTTGATCTTGACTGCATATATTTACAACTATATGTCAATACACATAGAAAGCCACAGTTTAGGTAATGGTGAAATGCTTTTTCTTTAAATGGTACACTAAGAAAAACATTTAAACAAACAGCATGGAGTAGAAGACATCAATACCCATTTAAAGTGATACCTGTAAAAATTTTCAACAAATGTAGGACATTTACCATAAATAAAACACAACTATTAAGTACAAAATTAACAATTTATTGCAGTCGGTGATAATTTTTAATAGTGAATGATTTTCTATAATACAGACTTAATTTCTGTCGGGACAACATCAGTAAGAGAAATCAATGCTAACATCATAACTGCTAAATTAGACATGTTTTCATCACATTAATTCCGATTGAATCCTCAACTTAAAGTTAATCACTTCACAGTCAAGTTAAATTACATTAACAACATTTTGGATAATTTGTGGTTCTGTCTCGTCCATTTTGAGTGGAGATTGAGACTTCCTCCTGAGGCGTATGAATATTGGTTAATGTTGCAGAAATAGTGCCGACAGAAACTCATTACTTCGTATGGCAGGATGTTATCGATTAATGAAAGTGCAGATTTTATACTGATACTAACTTTATTTGCAAATGAAGCTTTATGCCGATAAAACTTTTCTTCATAAAAAAAATGAAGGATTTGTGAGAAAATGACACTTTTAAAGTTTGTTATTATATTCATAGACTAAGATATTATCATATTATATTATGTTGATTTTTTTATAATATCTTGTCATATAATTTTTCTCTTATAGATTGCTTTAAATTGTGTGTTTGAGACAGTTAAAAAAGTAAGAGGTTATACATAAAATTATACAAAAATCACAAGAACCTGGAGGAAACTTTAATAGTAAATCAAATTAATCTTGGCCTAAAACTCACACGATGTTGACGAATGAAAAATGAGTTTATTTACAATGCAAATAAAGATCCATATCAGTCACACGTACATGATTTTCAGTGTTAAATGATTTTAATTTAAATCTTTAAATAGGTATCAAGTTTCGTAAAATGTATTTATGAAAGATGCCTTTTTTATCGCTTCCATTCATCAAATATACTGTAACGTCGTGGTAATACTCAAGTAAATTGAAAATCTACAAAAAATACATAGAACTGATACACTGTACGAGCCATTTTTGTTGAAAATCATAGTCAAATTAGTTTCAAAATATTTGTTGGTTTTAAATTCATATCCAATTGTATTGCAAATCACCTAAAGGCATCATGATACTTATTTGGAAAAAATCCGGTAAAACAAGTCCGGAAAATGAGATCTAAACACCCTCCCCTTTTTATTTACCACCGTTCCACTGTCGCAATAATTTTTAATTGGTGATGTGCTGTAAGCTTTTTATAAAAAATCATTGGCCTATGCTATGTTTATTCTTGATATTGCCCTCTTAATGTGCAAAACAATCATGCATTAATTTTCTTTTTTACCTAGTTAATGATTTGAATAAAAAAAATATATTGATCTTTAACTGAGTTTATAAAAAAAAAGTTACGATACTTCTTTGGAAATTTAGATGCAAGATATATTAAAGTCCAGAATGTCCTTGAGTTATTACAAACTATATTGCAACAGAGATTTACGTTAAAGAACATCTATCCTGAATATTGTACCTGTTATGAACTGCATAGTATATGATGTTGGATAGATGTGCTGAAAAATCAAAGTAGGTGTTGGAAAACACTCACCCATCATTTTTCACATATTTCAGTTACATTACATAGAAATATAACAAATATAACAAACAAGTTACAATATATAAAAAAACAAGTTTCATAAAAAAAAACATTGCGTAAATAAATAATTTCTATATGATTATCTACAAACAAGATTGAAACTATATATATATAAACACAATTAGGAAAACATTCAATGAACATAACGATTAAAACTTCCAATCATAAAAGCATTGAGATTCATAAAAAAAATGTCCAGTCAACATTTTATTATTGATATGTTATTGAATTTTCATTCAGCCTATTTTGAAACTTTACTCATTTTATTAAGGCAAAGGATCCATGACAATGAATTGTCTGTAATATGGCATATTACATTAATAAGTTAGGAGTATCTGCTTTAAATGTTTATGCTCCACGTGTATCTATTTGTTTTATCTTTTTATTATTTGGTTATTCCGCTTCTAATATTTTTACGATTAAATATCTGAAAACTCCATATCTTTTATACACTTGATTTGTTCTGAGTGATGTGAAAATCTCCTTTCATTCCTGGAAGTCTTTATAAGTGAAAGTTTATATAATACCGAGGGAAATGTTCTTTAATTTGATAAGACTGAATGAAACTTTAGATAAAACCATTCTTTGCCTATATGTACAAACGAACTATTTACAACATTCTTGTTCTGTGAACATTTTTTTAAAACAGGACAAACGTTCTTATATAAAGGACTTTCATGAATCTGACATTTATACCACAATGTTATTATATAAACGGAGGAAACTCTTATTTCAATTTACCATAGGAAACTGGCCTTTTTTCATTCACATAGTCTCATTATCAATACTAGAAGGAGTCAATATACGTGTGGTATTTTGTAAAGACTGAATCAAGTTATACAAGCAAGTATGCATCAGAACTACGAAACAAACATGTCATGGTTGTAGTTTAGGTCTAAAATAAAGAGGTAGAACATAAGTGTATATACATGTTAAACTGGACTGTTATGATTTGCATTCATTTATACTCCTGTGATAACTGTATTTGTGCTATACATTAACACATGTCGAACACATTTACGCAAATGGACACTCCGACGTAATTCAATGCCTTTCCAATCCTTTACACAACCTTATCTCTTGCATCGCGGAATACCATATTTTATTCTAATCTCATAGCCTATTTGAGGCGGACATTTGTTTTTTTTTTTTTTTTGCATATTTTTCGATCATTTGCATGAGTTAATATCAACTATTCTTTCACAAGTCCGACATTTAACATAGCAACACCAATGAAATTTACACTGGCATCGTTCTACTAGTTTTCTTTTGAATGTATTGTACCCACGACCACAACACATAAGTCTACACCCGTCCATCCCTTCGGACAGTCTGTTGCATTCCCTGCCTACGGTCCCTAATGAACCTGTTGTTTTATTGGCCACACAATAATCAGGTGACGTATTTACATATAATAAATCGTCTTGTGTTGGTTTATTAAAACGTCTCTTCTTTCGTATTAATCGTGTTCCTCTTTTATTAAATTTTACTTCCACTGCACCGTCATAACGGTCTTTTAATCTTTTTCCAACATCTTTGAATGGCGGTAATGCCTGCCAACAAGTTTTCACACTACACGATCCTGATACTCCATGACATTTGCATGCAACATTGGCATAATTATAAACTGCCTGAAAATAAAAAAATAGAATATGAATTTATTCTAACGATGATCTTGTTCTTTGCTTTTGAAATCTTTTGAATTATCTTACCATTGTTTAATTATTTTATAAAGGAGATACAAAGTGTTGGTTCGTTAAAAAGATAACATGAGCCCGGAGGTAGAATGGTATCCTTTTATGAACAAAACTTTGTCCATTCTGTTTTTCATTTTAAACTACCGTTGTAAATTTACATTATAAAAGAATGTTAAAACAAAACTGTCTCCACATTTAAGTATACTGTACCGACTTTCAAGGATTAAACAAACTGAACATATCGGGATGTTAAATTGTTTTTTCAATAAATGAATTAGCCAACGAAATCATATAAATCATTGGAACAACCTTCTGATTACCAACCCAACAATACAAAATTAAAAGGCTTCATGAGAGCAGCATTTGGCTGTCCTTATATTCTTAAACAATAAACTAGAGTAGTATTCTTTGGAAATAATCAAGTATTTAACTATAGTCTCAAAATTTTACACAAATAATATTTTACGATTTAAAAAGAATTTATTCCTACTTTGTATAATTTAAATTACTGTGCATGATTCGTGCTCAAAGCGATTAATGTCATGATTGTTTCAAGATAGACTATATTTTGATTGATTTAAACGACATTCTTGTCAATGATGTAAGTGGTGTATTTTTATGCACTCTTTCATTCTGTTTACCAAAAATGTTAATTCATAAATATACATATAATTATCTAATCATTATGTGTAAACTGTCTTCAGGGCAATAATTTATTACCAATTGAACTTTTTAGAACGCTGCAGATAATTGTTTTTATAGTTATTTAAAACCGAAATTTATGATTTAAATTGTGTTAAGATATGACAAAATTGACGTCTTTACTGCAGGTGTTAGACTACGAAGTCGATAAATATTTCATTATCCTGGACAGGGAACCTTTTTGATACAATCCGTTCAGTCTGAGAAGAACCAAATAGTCTGGTAAACCGAAAATGACAAGGGGCAAACACGTAGACATATATATATATATATATATAAGTCTAATAACATATCCCAGCTAGAACAATATACAACATTGTGCACAGCGAAGACAATGACAGCTGTCTATCGTTAAAAGATATAAAAATAAAGTATGAACCATCACTAGTAAATGAATTTTAGTCTGTTTGATCTTTACATCATCTGAAAAGTATGAACAATAAAATATTCAGTCATGTTCAGTCTTTCAGTCAATTTTTAATCTTTTCAACTGCGGTACATTCAGTACTGTTTAGACAATTCGCTTGCAGTCCATTCAGTACTGTATATTTTCATACATTTCAGTATAATGTTGATGAGAACTGGTATATAACAACTACTGAACATTCTACACATAGACTGAACAGGCCGCAATTGACTGCAAGCGAATGGTCTGAACAGTACTGAGTTTACCGCAGTGGATAAGTCTATAATTGGACTGAGTATGAAATTGACATAATGATTTATTGTTAAGTTTTTTAAGAGCTGTTCAGATCAAAATGACCGTTTCAGATGAAAATTAGTTTACTAGGGCACATTTTTATCAGGATTGCTGCACCGTACGACAGCCTAGTTTTGAGTGTATTTTCGGTTACTTGTATATTGAATACGCATTCTTGTACTATTATTCATTTGTAGTTTTAATCCTCTTCGTCAGCCTTTTTTTTTCTTCTTATGAGTTAATGATTAAGATAAAGCCAGTCACAATTGTAACATTTTAACAACCTTTGTTGGCTGTTTGAAACTCTGTATAAGTTTCAAAAACAAATAATATCGTAATATCAAAAAAACGTTTGAGAATTGATAGCTCTTGAGTTTGTCGAAAACAAACTTGTCTAAGGCTTTACAGTTTTCGATTTTTCGTTAAGTATCGACATGTCAATGCTGTTTTATCTGGCAGCAAACAGTAATAAAGCAAAACTATATCAAACAATTTTCTTATTTGTGTCTGTTTAGCATTAACTCTCTGTATATTGATTAATAGTATACCATTATAGTTATCATGGTTCTGTTTGATTCAAATCATTTCGTATTTTTATGAATATCCATTAAAAGATCAATGTATTTGAACATGCCATTGTACATGAACATCCTTAAATACATTTATGTTTTATTCCATATAACATAATATGTATACAACAAAACAAGAACAACAAACACGATCGCAAAGTAATCGAACAAAAAAATTAAACAGAAATCATAAACAAAGTGTTGCATTTAATATTTTGTTTAGGCACCAAGGAGTAAATATTTTCCCTTTCACTATCAAAACAACTCGTTATATCATTAAAACGTACAAATAAAAGGCATATATGCAAATAAAAATTAAAATAACTCTTAATAAATGTGTTGTGTCCCTAGCGCTTTCCTGGATTTACCGTAATCAGGCAGCCTCAAAAGCAAACTTATGATTGGCGGGAAGAAAAATGCTTGAGAAGATATATAACCAAAAAGGACCTATATAGAATATTCAAAACCAATTAAGATCAGAGCATTAGAGAGACGACATATATATAAAATTACGTTTTTGTTAGATGTTTTTCTGCTTTGTATAGATATGATGAGTTAAGCCATTTTCAACTATTTTTTATAGTTTGTTCTTATATTGTGCTGTAACACCACCGTCCCAGGTTGGGGGAGGGTTAAGCGCTTACAAACATGTTTAACTCCGTCATATTCTTTGTGTGCTTGTCCCAAGCCAGGAGCCTGTAGTTCAGTGGTTGTCGTTGGTTAATGTCTGTCATACTTGTTTTTCGTAAGTTGTTTTGTTATAAATTAGGCCGTTAGTTTACTAAATTGAATTGTTTCGTATTGTTAACGTCGGGGCCTTTTATACCCGACTATACGGTATGGGTTTTTTGTCATTGTTGAAGGCCGTATGGTTGCCTATAATTGCTTACATCCACTTCATTTTAACTTGGGTGGATAGTTGTCTTATTGGCAATCATACCACATCTCCTTATTTTTATATGTTGTATGATTGCCAATGACACAACTATTAAACAGAGTTCTGTATAGCGTCAATTTCATTTGTATATGGAGAATTAGCATAGTTGTAGCTTAGGGTCGAATTAAGGCAAACGGTTTGCGGCATAATTATAAATTACAAATACGAGGCCCACATTGGAACGACCCATGTAATGGGGTGCCACATAATGCATTCAACTCCTCTGGAATCCAGAAATAAGAAATAACGGAAATGTGGTAACTGTGAGAATGATCAACCTGTTGGCGTGCCACATAAAGCATCCACCTCTTCATGAATGCAGGAATCAACAACAGATTAACATAAACTAGATTCCAGATATTAACCTGTACCATAAAACTGTCCCATATTTGAACATCTAGGCCACGCATTGACCTTATGCCATACAAAAAGTAAATGATCAATACGATTCCCTATAAAACGATCAAACAATTCGTTGACGGTGAAAGAATAAGAAAAAATTGAGAAATCGTTGAAAACAGAAAAAGATGAATATTCCTTGACAAGACTAAATAACGATGGTCACGAATTTAATATAGAATTGGGAATTTGGCAAATAAACAAACCATACATTCAATTGTAAATGATTATGTAAGCTAAATAGGTAAACCATACAACTTTTCAATTTTTATGAGTCTACAAGTTTAGAAATGTTTAGGAATAATTTAATTTATTACTATTACTGAATAAAAATAATGCTTATAGATATAATAGTTTTTGTATCAACAAAACCACGAAGCTATGAAAATATAGGGGAAAATATATTCCTATGATTTAGGCACCGATACCACATGCGGGAATGCATCTTGTCGTTTGATGTTTAATCAAAGCCTTGATGTTCACATTTTAAACATGTTTTTCTTAGTACACAGCCAAATAAGATTTTCGATAGCTGGGTCTATAATTGAGAAAGTCGTAAATTTCAGATTTTATGACTCTTAAAATGGAGCAAATATAAAGTGAATTCTCTCAACTTTGACAAAAAAGAAACAATAAATCAAGTCTCGCCTCATAACATAAATTAACGAATTCACCATCATAATACTTACTGGCGCATATAAAGTTTAATTCCTATTTTACAGTTGTACCAAAATAAAGGTCAAAATACATCGGTGTTTGAAGAATGAGCTTGACTTTACAAACGTTTTCGGGAGTATTTGTCTGTATTTTAGCAATAAAAACAAAATTAAAAATTGGATAAGATTATGACCCTTCGACAATTTTCTTGTATATGCCTGATTCGACAATGGTTGGAATTCATATTATAACAAAATAGGCCAATTTTACAGCCGGTTTATTACAATCGATGAAACAATTTTCAAGTGGAGCATATTCAAAGTAAAAATTTCCTTTCTATGATCAAAGTTATGATTACAAATTTTTAATATCTGAAAAAAGATAATTGTACGTGAGCACATCGGGGAAACTATTGAAGTTACAATCTATTCTGAGCTAACATCCAAATATTTCAATATGGAAAAGTAATAATTCCGTTCGGGCGTGTAGATTCACGATATGTTTGCTTATTAATTAAGTCCGCTGGGTTTTCCTAAATCATTTTACAACGAATTGGTAAATTAGATAAGCAGATTATTTTAGTGCAAAATTTTGTAAAGTAATTCCTGCCTTGTCAAAAATCCATACATCTTCATAAAATTAAAATAGTTTCTAACATTTAATTAAATGCAATAACAATCAGTTCTATTAAAATGCCTGATTTAGTCCCCATGGGTATCATCTTCACAGTAAACGTCAGTGCTTTAGCATTGATACATACACTTTACTAAATTCTTAGTCGATAAAATGTTATTTCTACAGAAACTGGTCCGCTTTTCCTGTTCCCTCCGTTGTTCATGGCATCCCTTGCTCTTGAATTAAATTTATTCATGACTTTAGACATGCACAACATTGTTTCTCAGGATTCATGGTGAAAATATATTATATTCAAGTTGAAAAAGCTTTGGAAGTTTTATACTCTGCGTTTTCG